AACCAACTCAGAAAATAGCAATCCTATAAGGGACAGTATATCATTCACTGTAATAGCCATGTTATCTGCAGGTATTTCATAGGCCACAAAAGAAACATTGAGCCTATTAAATACCAAGTTTCAGATTCAATAAATGTGCTCATAGCACTGCATCGTTGACAATTGTGATTTTTTTTTTCTGTATGAGGGATTGAACTCATGACCTTGTGCTCTCCAGGAGCTAATTGTATCCTTGAGTTCAATCTCCAGACCCAACTACTTTAGATACTAAATATGACTATTAACAATGTTTAATTTGCCATTGACATATTTAGTTATAAATTTTGTAAATCTACATTTTCACAAATGAAATTATTTTCTTTCCTTGCAGTTCAAATAACTTTTTTTTTAGGTACAAGCCATCAAAGCTACAACCTAGCACTTTCCAGGCAGGTGTTTCTGCCTCCTAAGATAAATCCCTGGCCTGTATTAATGAATATTTCACTTTATTCATTCCAATAGAACTGTGATTTTAGCAAAGGATACCAATGTAGAGAGAAATTGATATACAATCAGAGAGGAACTGGAACCTCAAATAGTTAATGCAAAAAACTATAAATACAACAATCACTGCTACAGGGACAGCTGAAGAAAGCCAGACCTGAAGGTGAAGATGAAGTGACCAGGTCTACATGGTCCTGAAGAGAAAAACAACAGTTTGAAATGTACTACAGTTACCACCACCTCCTCCAGGAATTTCAGATGGCATCAATTACCATACTCAATGACCAGAACTACTGGACTATTGTTCCCACAAAATGCCTTGGCTCTTTCCACATACCTTTTCTGGCTAGCTTGTTCCCCTGTTGAATATTATTAGTTAAGCAGCTATAAGCTTATAGGTTGATTGTAGTCTGAGACCCACACTGTACTCACATTGTGACTTTCCTGTATAAATGACCCCTGAGAATAGGTCTGTGGCCAAAAACCCGAAGACCACTCCTGAAAATTCAGGGCTATTCTTCCTTCTTTTTTTCTAAGAAAATTTTTGAACTTCTTTTGGTTTATGACTTCATTTCCCAATGTTGTGAGACATTAAACTTGCTGCATTTGATATCAAACAGGGCAGGATTATATTTCTCTTATCTCAATTTAAATATGAAATGTCTGCTAAAGACATTGTGCCAAAGCCAGAATTTCAGGCTGCTTGTTTGCCCTGAGTTTCACATTTCCATGAGCTTTTAGAAGTCCTCAGTCTAGTGAACTGCAAATGTAATGGAGGAAGGAGGTCACTGTTGTCCTGTAGCACAATAGGTGCCATTCCTAAGTCTGTGTTAGTCCCTCCCTCCTGGATGCCACTACATGGACTTCTTTCCTCTGCAACATCATTCAATAATTCCCATTTTACATAACTCAAATTTCACTCAGCTCTATTATTGTTCGTTTTTAATAATTTTTCTGTCTACTTGGTTGCTTTTTTTTTTTTCATTTTAGTTTTTGATTTAAAGACATAGTCTCACTTTGGAGTTCTGGGAAGCCTTGCACTCACTATGTAGGTTAGGCTGTCTTTGAATATATGGCCATTCTCCTGTTTCAGTTTCTTCATTGCTGCAGAAAAGAGGTGGGCATTATAGCACATGGTGTTTGTCTTTTTTCTCTTCTCCTTTTCACTACTATTCTTTCATTTCAGGGGCACTGTTATTTAATCCTGAGGTTTGCTTGTGTCAGTAAGATTTCTGCAGCTTGAGGTGATTTTGTGAACAATAATATAGGAAGCCAAGCAACCCAATTGAGAAATGTGGAATTTCATAAGCTGCTCTCAGCACCACTTGTATACAGAACCCCCACCCCCATTTCAGGATCTAAACAAGAGGCTCTGAACTGGAAAGTTAGAGATGTTTTAAAAGATAGAATCACCAAAAGATAGTTGGAAATCATTTAGCTAGAATCTTATAATAATTTTTGCATGACAACTGTATTCTGCTTCTTTTGTTGAGCAGGTTAATTTTTTTCTTTGGCTACAGCTCATTTTGCTTTTCTCCTGGGACTTATACCCTGAGTGATTTTCCATTTTTCTGAGTGAAACACAGGGCACTAGTTAAATGCAAAGCTCAAGATGGCATCTATTAAGCCAACCTACAACACAGCTAAGTTACAAGCCTCAATATTTTCTAGGGTAAAAACACACAGATCTATAATCCCAGCACTCAAGAGGCTCAGACAGGAATGCTGCTTTGAGGTTAGGGCAATTTTATGCTCCATGAAGGGTTCAAATCTAGCTGATATACATAGAGAAAACTTGTCTCAATAAAACAAAACTAAACTACACAAATAAAACCAAACAAAACAGCTGAATGGAGAGTGATTTCTTCAAATTTTATTTCACATCTTGGGGATTAATTTTTGTATATATACATTTTTGAGACAGCAAATTTGATGCTATATTGCAACTCACAGCTAACGTACCAGCCAAATAGGAGCACTGATTCTTTTTTTTTTTTAAGAGGAAAAAGAGAAAAACACAAAACAAAACAAAGCGGTGTAAGGGTACACCTAATACAGAACTACAAAAAAAAAAAACATAACAGTAAGAAATCACCTGTTAGTAGATTACATATTATCATCTTGAAAATAGTTGCTCAAATCACAGTATCAAAGAATACAAGGTGGACATTCAAACAGGGAGACTGCAAACAGCTGTGTTCAATGATCCAAAAACATTGATATAGTCAGCTATTTAACACCCCTAAACACACTTGCTGTTATATCCCTTAGAACTCTTTTTCTTTTCTTTTTTTCCCTCTCTTGCACTGATTCTTATGGTGAGTCACCGCAAGAGTCCCTGTGCACTGCCTCCAAGGCAGAGCTCATAGTGAGAGCCTGCAGGACCAGCATCCATAATGCACAGAGGCAGACAAATATCTCATGAATTACTTTGATGTACTAACAGTAATATCTCTTCAAATCTCATTTAGGCCACTGAGTCCTTTGTTCTTAATATACTTAAGCAGTATCTTGATATTTAAATTTGGTTTCATAGAACAAAGCATAAATAACATCAAATATGATACATAAATAATAACTCAAATGTTCATGGAAAACTGACGTATGTAAAAAATGTATAAACAATGAAATCAGGTACAAGTTTCAAATTATAGCTCAGTGTCACCAAGTGATCACTCTCCATTCAGATATAAGAAATATATCTTGGGAGGCTGATGCAGGAGAACTTCCTTGAGTTTGGGGCTAGCCTAAGTTACAGAGCTGTCTGAAATATAGAAACCCTGACTGAGACACCCCACAGACAATGTGAAACTTGAAAAGTGACTGCATACGACACCTTTGGTTTGCTTTAAAAATTATATCCATACAATATAGAAAACTTCCACAATATTCAACATTTCTGAAGAACAATGTTAATATCATACATAGTATGCAGAAAACACTTTCAGAGCGTGGTATTTAGCTCAGCAGCATGAACACCTACCTAGCAAGCTTGAGATCATGAGTTCGATCCCTGTTACAAAAAAATTCAAATTTTGCCTTCATGACACTGGGTCATAATTAGAGATAATCAAAATTAGATCTCAAGTGAAGAACAAAGAATTCATGTGTTGACAAGGATGTAGAATACTGATTCTTACCAGAGCTAGTGTTTTTCACCTCAAGGAAGAAATCATAAACCAACTTTAACTTCATGCTTACCCTAGAACTACCTGACTTTCAGGGAAGACCCTCTCTGTTATATGTCCTGCTATTGGCACTCTGCGTCCTGACAGTCACTTCCACATCCTTTCCACTCTCATCTGATCCACCCTAAGCTGAAAACCCTTCATGACTGAACTATTGATATCCCTGCACAATTTCAATTTATGGCATCTCCTTTACACCACTTAGTAAAGTCCACTGCAGAGCATTTCCATATTTCAACAATGTATATGATCAACCAAGCTATTAAGTCACCTCTTAATTCAGACATGACACCCACATTCCTTTACATTCAGAAGGATATCACTTGTATATGTTCATGCAAATGACTACATTTAGGCATTTTTCAGTGAGAATTTAACAGGCAGTCCTTTCTGGAATTTGTCTTAGCAAGCACACTTTACCCTGCCCTTGATGACACTTTTATATCTGCTTCATTTTTCTCAAAATTTAAACCTCTATGGCTGTTCTCCCAAACATCGTCTATGAGCACATGTGTCACATAAAGTATGTTCAGAAATTCTTTGCTTTGTTCTGTATAATACACAGCATTTCATCCGGTGTTTGGGAAGCCTTCCACCACTGAGGCACATCACTACACATCTTTGAATTCTCAGAACCTTTGCCTCCACCTTTCATGAGCATGGAAATATGAGAACATAGTATAAATTTAGGCGATCACAAAATACATAAATGCATAAGTTTAAGGAGAGCAGTTGTGGCTATCAGGTCCTGCAGCACAGACATTTATAAACTTCTGGCTTTCATATCTGTTGCTGACAGGAATGAGAGCAGAGACCTGGCTTATTACAGCTGCACCCAGCTTGAAAACACATCGCAATCAGGGTCTCCTCATGCCCTGTCCTGGGCCCAGACTGTTGGAGGAGCAAGGGCAGCAGTCGATTTCAAAAATGGCATTGTGCCTTGGTGGTATCACAGTGATGACAGCATTCTAGGGATGCAGAACTGTCCTGGCGCCAGCGAGAGGTAAAAGGGACAGAGGATGACTCACTGCTAGTACTAGTGGAACTCAGGGTCTGAGGCTAAGCACACAGGCTCTAGACAGCACAGCTGCTTCTCACCACTTGTTTTTTTTTTTTTTTTTCCTTTTCTTTTTCTTTCTTTTTTTTTTTTTTTTTTTTTTTTTTTTTGGTCTTTTTCCTTTTATCGGTACAGGGGATCGAACTCATGACTGCCTGCTTTCAAGGCAGGCGCTTATGCCACTGAGCTAAACCCCCAGCCCCTTCTCACCACTTCTAACTGGTCTCAACCCGATTCCACCCCATTTCACTGCTCCCATCCCATAACATCACCATTGCGTAGTTTGGAGGTCTCCCAGGTTCTTTTAAGCAGTCCACAGCGAATAGAAGCAAAAAATAGTGGTCTAGCAAACATTTAGTGCTCCCTTTTGTGCCCTGGCCTTGCAATTGACGCCATGACACCGGAAGACACCGCCTACCTTGGCCCGCCTGATTGGACAGTTCTTCAGCCAGCCTCTTCATCACTGATTGGCTCCTGCTCTCCTGCCTGCCTTCCCCACCAAGAATAATTGCAGAAAATAAAACACCCTGTAACTGTGGATCCCCTATGAATGCAGGTGAGGCTTCTGCAGCTGGCTGTTTTCTGGAATGTTGACCTCAGCACGTCTGATGGGTATTTGCACTGAAAGTCTTTACCTCAGTCCTTGTTTTTTCTCCCAAACCCATTTTATTTGAAAGTTAAAAAGTAAAAAATGTGGTCCAGGGATTTAGCGTAAGCACCTGCCTGGCAAGCTAGAGGTCCTGCATTCCATCCAAGATCTGGCTACCACAAACTGCTGCTATAAACGTGGGTGCACATATATCACTGTGGTATGATAATTTTTATTCTTTTGAGTAGATACCCAGAAGGAGAATAGCTGAGTTGAGTGGGAACTGTAGACCTAGTTTGTGTGGAATCTCCACACTGATTTCCACAGTGGTTGCTTTACCACCAACAATGGAGAAGGGTTCCTTTTTGCCCCACAACCTCTCCAGCATTCGTTATTGCTTGATTTCTTGACAGTAGGCATTTTTTCTGGGGCAAGGTGACATATCAGTGTTATTTACTTTGCAATTCTTAAATGAGGAGTGATGCAAAACATTTTATCACATATTTATTTGCTGTTTCTATTTCTTCAACTGAGAACTGTGTATTTCATCTCAGATGCACATTTTTGGATTGGGTCTTTAAATCTGGGAAGACTGAAATTTTTTAGTTTTTCATGCTCTCAATAGTAATACTTTGTCTGAGGAACAGTTGGCAAACATTTTCTCCCATGTTGTGGGTTGTCTTTTCACTCTGTTAGTGATTTCTCTTGCTGTTAAAAAGTTTTTCAGTAGGGTGAGATTCTCACTTAATTCTCTTTGATTTTTGCTGTTCAATCCATGTTTTCCCCATAAAGTCTTTGCTTACATCAATGTCTTCAAGAATTTTACTTACTCTATCTTGCAGCAGATTTAATGTTTCTGTTTTAATATAAGACCTTTGATCTATACTGATCTTAGCTTAATACACGTTGAAAGATAATATTCAGAACGTATATAGCCAGTTTTTCCAGCACCATTTATTAAAGAGGCTGCTGTTCTTCCAATGACTTTGTTTGGCACCTTTGTCAAAGATAAGATGGTTTAGTGGTCTGGGGTTGTTTCTCCATCTTCTAATTAGATCCTTGGATCTTTGCATCTGGTTTTGTTTGTTTTGTTTTTTGTCAGTACCACTTCTTTTTTTTTAATCACAATACCTTTATAGTATAATTTCAAGTCAGGGATTTTGATGAACCCTATCTTTCCTTTGTTGCCCAGGATCACCTTTGCTACTCTAGGTCTCTTCTGGTTCCAGATGAATTTTAGGATTTATTTTGTGTAATTCTTTCAGATATGCTCCGGGGTTTTGATTGGGATTGCACTAAATCTGTACAATAGCTTTGGAAGTATGGTCATTTTCACTATATTGAATTTCCCTACCCAAGACTATGGGATACCTCTTCATTTTAGAATCTCTTCTTCAATCTCCATTTTGAGAGTACTGTAGTTTACAATGTAGAGATCATTTACATCCTTTGTTAGATTGATTCCTAAGTATTTCATTTGGTTGGATGCTATTGTAAAAGTTATTGTTTCCTTGATTTCTCTTTCCATGGGTTTTTTATTCTTGTTTATGAAGTCTATTGATTGTTGAGTGTTGCCTTTGTAACCAGCTATATTACTGAATTTGCTTCTTAAACTAAAAGTCTTTTGGTGGAATTTTTAGGGTCTTCTACGTAGAGTATCATGGCTTCTGCAAATAATGACATTTTAAGCTTTTCCTTTCCTATCTTTATTCCTTTTATTTCTTTCTCTTGTCTAATTGCTCCAGCTAGTTTCCAGGACTATATTGAATAAGAGTGGAGACAGTTGTCTCCACTTGTTTTGTTCCTGATTTTAGAGTGAAAGCTTTCAGTGTTTGTCCACTTAGTATGAGGTTGACTGTTGGTTTGTAATAAAAGGCTTTTATCAGATTGAGATAAAGATCATCTCCCCAATATTTGTAGGTTTTTTATTATGAATAGGTGATGGACTTTGTCAAAATCTTTTTTTGTATCTATTGAAGTGATCAAATGAGTTTTGCTTTTGGATTTCTCAATACGGTGTATTATATGTATGGATTTATGTATGTTGAACCACCCCTGAGTACCAGGGAATAATTCCACTTGATCATGATGTAAAATTTTCTTGAAGATATTCTGCAGTCTGTTTGCCAGTATCTTATTGGGGATTTTTGCTTCAATGTTCACTAGGCAGAATGGTCTGTAATTCTCTTTCTTATTTGGATTGTTCTCTGGTTTTGTTATCAGGGTAATGCTTGCTTCCAGGAATGAACTGAGAAGTACAATTTCCCATTTGATTTCATTAAATTTTGAGAAGTGATGGTGTTAGGTCTTCTCTAAATTTCTTATTTGTCCCTGCCATTTCATGGCTACCCTGCTTTCTTTCAAGGATCAGTGGACTCTTTCCATAATGGGCTGCAAATGTTTTCAGGATTCACGTTCAATCCTCCAGGAATAAAAATCCACTGATGTCAGAAAATATTCTGAGAACAGGCCAGGGCAGGACACAACAGAACAGAGAGTTGGAAGTTTCTGTTAGAGGCAGCAGACTTCATTTTCATGATTTTCACTCATTTCTATTAATTTTCCACCAAAAAACCAGTATGTGAACACAAAAGGAGCACAGTTACCATGTATAGTGAAGACATTGCATTGAAATGATAGTAATGTTCTGCAACAGAGTAAGGATGAAATAAAAGCAAGCATCAGTTCTCCAAGACAAACTTGCTACTGATTCAGGCTCATAAAAATGCTGAATTCTGAAAGTGATCATATTGCCAAGCATGGGGGTGACAATTATTGCTCGAATGGAACCTAATCCAATTAAACATTTCCTTCTGGTGAGGCAGGGAGACCCAAGGACTTGACACTCTAAGTTCCCCTGCCGTATAGTTCCCTTGTCACTAATTGGCACTCAGCTCTTTGTTGTACTCTACTTAAAAAAAAACATGGCCCCATGATGAAAAAACGGGGCAAGACCCCAAGATGACGAATGGGGCAAGACACGTGTTTTAAAACAAGCACTTTTATTTTAGCTGGCCCAGCGACACAGTGCAAATGGAATTTGCAAAGCTGTGCAACTGAGTTAGAGTTTTGACTGATTTTTATAGTTCATTTATGATTAGCTCATTGATTAGTAAGTACATAGTGATGAGAAACAGAAATAAGGTGGGCCTTTGTTCCCCTTTGCTTGAGGACAGAGGCATTTCACAGTGGGTGGTTGGCCAATTCATAGCCCTTGGTCTGCCAATTCCAGGAACATTTGTCTCTCATAAAGGGAACAGTGGTTGGCACAGCATCATTTGTCTCTTACAAGGGGAACAAAATTTGTCATAGCACACAGTTCACTAAGGTGGCGGGTGATGACGATTACAGAACAGCAAAATGACACGGTCAGTTAATTTATACCTATGTGGTTGGTGCTTGATTACTAGGGCAATGAGCTTAGTAGAATGATAATATTACTAATAACTATCTTTTTAAGTAACTATTTTTTAATTATCTTTTAATCAATTATTTTAATTTTTAGCATCTCAGTATAACACTCTTCAGGATTTTAATATTCCTAGAAGTCATATATTACCTAAAGCCTGGTGATCAATTTGTTAACACCTTTTGGCTTCAGAAATGTGTAGGAGATTACTATGATTGCTTCTATATGTATAAACTGCAGCGATGTGTGTTAGAACCAATGAACCAAATCTCTTCTCTGGATCCTTCTTTCAGGTTCTGAAACTGTTCTCTGGATCCTTGATCTCATAAAAAACTTACTTTTTCCTTTCCACTTTTTTCCAAGATATTTGTGCTGTGGAAACAGTCAAAATCAAACAACCCTCATGGAAACCATGAGATAAAGAATATATTTATATTAAAATCTATAAGTCAGGTATTTTGTACCTATATAAAAGTAAAGAAATAAATATCTAATATAATTCAGCTAGTTGTATGTTCTGACTAATCTTCCAAATGCATCAACTCATTCTTCAACTAATTATGTAAATGAGTTTTTAATCTATGTATACCCTAACAGTTTTTTAGCATTTACCTGTTTCAGTTTGACTCCAGCAATTCTTTGGAGATCAAAACCACTTAATTTCCTGTACAATCCATTCTGTGCCAAGCAGGCATGACTGGGATCTGGTCAGGAATTCATGGTTAAAACAAATGAACTGCTAGAAACACCGAGACTCGTGTTACATAGTACTTAGCAAGTTGATGGAGGCCTCCGTTATTATCTACCATATTCACTTATAAGAACTGACTTAGAAAAGTTATGCAGAATACTCACAATGATGTAAAGAGGTGTATAATCATGCCTTCTGAGAAATCACTATAATACCCCTCAATATGTTAAAAAGGTAGAATATGTTGATAAGTTAGCAATATATTTGTTGATAATAACACTTCCATCTAGAGGTAAGGAAAATTTACATGCAACAAAATTTTCAGGAAACTTACAGTTATCCTATCTGGAAGGTAAGTTTTTATTGGAGCCTAGGCCTAAATACCTAGCCCCCAAAAAAGTTCACAGCAAAGGACCAAAAGAAGGAGAAAAGTGGCATTGTCTTGAGGGCAACAGGAAGAGTGAAATCTTCTTCAGAACTCATAACTCTGCTAACCAGCCAGCCACCTGTCACTAGGCAGCCCATATTTAATCAGAACGAACAAGCAAGTGAGTGGACAATGGTAAAAAGCTGAGCAGGCCCCAGGGAGAGGGTCAAGGAACCCACAGAGCAACAGATGATTCTAATTAAGAAAAATTATTCAGGAAGTCTCTAGGTGGCCTCAGCTGTGGCCTATCTTGTTCCTTGTGGTGTCTCCTCATTCTCAATTCAATCATGCCCAGGCCACACCACAGCCCTGCACATGTATTCATCTTCAACCCTTTCCAACAACTCTCTCTTATTTTGTTTTGTTGACTCCCAGGATGGGTGGCCAGCTTAAGGTGGGGAAGCACTGAGGAGAACTCCAATTTAAACTCATCATAGTCCATCGGTTCATAACAGCAGTCATTTACCAGAATAGCCAGCAATTGTCAGAGGATGTTAGCGATCCTAGCTCCCCCCTCAGGCAAGCTTTTACATTGCACTATATCTTCAGAGGCCAGACTTTTCTTCAGGATGTCCAAGGCCAAGCTAACATGAGACCTGTATTAACTACTGTCTTAGTTATATTTTACTTGTTTCTGAGACAAAATACGTGAAGCCCAAGTTGAGAAAGGAAAGGTTTATTTCTTCATTTTTTGGAGGTTTCAGTCCACACTCAGTTGGCTCCAAGGCAGGTGTACATCGCTGGGCCACATTTCATGGCAGCTCCAAACAGCAAGCAGGAACCAGCAAAAAGCAAGACACACTTTTTTCCTGCATTATATTACATCCTGGCTCCACCCCTATGTGGGTGTAGCACTAACACCATCAATCCACATATACACAATGAACCATCACAAATGCATAATGCAAACTCATGAAGCCTGGGGGACACAGGAATAAACCATGACATTCCACCCCTGGCCCCCAGGACTCATGTATATCCATTATACAAAAGACATTTAGTCCACTTCCAAGAGTTGCCAACGTCCTATGTTTCAGTATTCCTGAACAGTCCAATTCCCAAGTCTCCTCCAAGATCTAAGGCAAACTCTTAACCATAACCCCTGTACAAATCAAACAAGGTTAAACATTTCCCAAATGCAAAGGCACAAGGTAAACATTACCATTCCAAAAGTTACAATAATGGGAATATAAAGTACTGGAAACAAAAGAAGTCCAGCATGGTGAACATTAAGTCCTAGAATTCCATGTTCAGCATCAGAAGCAATCTGGTTGCAAACTCCAAAAGGCTTGGGTAATTCCACCCCCATGGCATTTCCAGCAATTTTAACTCCAACAGCTTTTCTCCTACATCTTCTCTGCTCTCTTTTTGCAGCTTCCCTTGAATCAACCACATTCTTGCCTTTTTGATACATCTGCAGTCCCCACCGCACCTTTGGCTTCACCCTTACGTCTTCACAAATTGCCCTCTCAGGGGCACACCTTTTGGCCTCCCAGGCACTTTGTAATTGAGGTGGATGCCATCTTGTCTCAAAATTTGTGCATTTTCCTTGCACCTAAAATCAGCACCTTGTGGATGCCACCAAGGTTTGCTGCTGATTGGAGCAGTACCTACGCTTTTCTGTCTTTTGGCTATAGGGGTCAATTGCCTGGATTGCAGGGCTCTGTGTACATGATTGTGAGGAAAAGCTTCTCCAAGGGACCACCATTCTGGAACCTCAAGTGGCTTCTGTTGCCATTCTAGAACATGGCACTCTGCAGCTTTTCCCTCTGAGCAAATTCTTTCACTTTTGCAGTGAGGATGCACAGGGTGGGGACCCCCTTCCTAAGATGCCCTGGGGCCATCTTTCTTATCTCTGTTTCTCCTCAGGAATCAAAATCTCAACTCTGTCTTTGCAATCCACAGTTTTCCTGGAATTTTCCTTCTGGCCAAACTCACAGCATTTTACACTATCCTGCTGATCTCTTTCTTTTGATATGCAACATAAATCTGGCTAAAAGCCCCAACAATAGCCATGCCACAGCCTCAAGGTTTGATTGCTTTTTAATTTCTTTTTCAAGATTAATCAGTCCATTGCCCTTTGTCTCAGTCTCAGCAAAGTCTCTGGGCAGTAGCAAAATGCAGACAAACCTTCTGCCAAGCCATAACACACATCAGGTGGAGTCCAACAACCAATGCAGTCCCTCTTCCCCACAGAAAACTCCCAAGCCTGGTTTTTATCATCAGGCCCTCTATCAGCCTTCTGGTCTCCTGAGGTCTGACCAGAATCCCCTCTACAGAACAGCCTAAGCTGCTCCAGCTCTATGCATCCAGGCAACATGTCCAAACCTTTCCAAACTCTGCCCACAAGCCATTGCCAAAGCCTCTAGAAAAACATGGTCAAGAATAGTCACAGCAAAAGACCCCACTCCTAGATACCAAATTCTGTCTTAATTACTTTTTACTTGTTGCTGAGACAAAATACCTGAAGCCCAATTTCAGAAAGGAAAGATTTATTTCTTACAGTTTTTGCAGGTTTCAGTTCACACTCAGTTGGTTCCAAGGCAGGCATGTATGGCTGGGCCACAGTTCATGGAGCCTGCAAAAAGCACACAGGAACCAGCAAAAAGCAAGATACACCTTCTTCCTGCCATTGAATTACATCCTGGCTCCACCCAATGTGGGTTTAGGACTGACACCATCAATCCGAACACTAGACAATGAACCATCATAAATGCACAATGCAAACTCATGAGGCCTGGGGGACACAGGAATAAACCATGACATTCCACCCCTGGCCCCCAGGACTCATATACATCCATTATGCAAAAGACATTTAGTCCACCTCCAAGAGTTGCTAAAAGACCTTCCTATCAAGGTCACTTAGGTCTTCTCAGGAGTTATCTTAGAACCATGCATAACACCTCATGGCTCTTCTGTCAGTGTCAGCCACTTAGAAGAGTCACAATCATTGCTTCACCACG